CTCATCTGGAAATTAATCCAGACAGTTCTCTGTTAACATCCTTTCCTCATGGCCAGTTGTATAAAAAATGAGCACCGTGATTCAAAATGGCAAAACCAATCCCTGACAGTCTGAAGAGCAGTCCAACGGGTTCATCTGTTTGTTGCAAAAGGACACATTATTACAGAGCAAGTCCCACCCTAGTCCTCCTTGAAAGGTCTCCTTCTGGTGGTGCACCTGTTCTTATTGCGCCTTTTCACACAGAGATATGGCAGGGTAGAATGGTCTTATTTCTGCCTGTTTGTGTGGAAATGTTCCATCTTTAGTGCCTTATGGGACAACATGGAGTAGAGCTAGTTTTAAGAAGTCTGTGGTACATAGATCATAGAAAACTATGGTAGAAGGGACCACAGCACTTTATCTGAGTGCTCGCTATCTGTAACAGATGGATTGTTTCTAACCTCCGTCCTTTCCGATCAATCTCTGATTTCACTTAATCATCTATGTCCACTCATGGATTAATTCTGAATAATTTCAGGCACAGACAACCATTACCCTAGGAAAACGGTCCTTTTACATCTACAGTTCACTGGGTAAGAATATGCCTTGCAATAGGGAAGTGTCAGAAATGCCTAAGAAGGCTTTTCCTATGAATATAGGAGAAACATGGGGAGGGGGGACATAAATGGGACAATCAGCTAGCAGACAACACTCGTGGTTATGAGGCAAACTCAAATCCTTTAGTGACTGTTAGTGGAGATATACTGAGTTATTTGGGCTTCTTGGAGCTCAGAACATGAAGGATGTGCTTAACTCCTCTTCCAGCTCTGAGCTTTGTACACAGCTTTGCTGTTCTGTGTTCTAACCCATCTTCATGTCTTTTTCTCACTCAAGGACGGGGACAGTACCTTCACAAAGTCGTATTCGCAGTTCTGTGATGGTTCAAGATCCAGATGCGTGAAATAAAGGTGAATACCATATCCCGGAGGGACCTGGATTTCCCAAGATTCCTTCACATCATTGGGATACAGTTGAGGATAATTGGGTGACAAGATCTCTCCATACATGGAGGCCGCATCAGCCCAGGCAGGGAGAGAGAAGAAGATAAGGTACCTGAGAAAAGAGGAAGGAAGATGGCATTGCAGAAGGCTTCTCCGTCCACATACGTGCACAGTCCCCAGTGAAAAAGCTAGTCTTCAACTGTACACAGCATGCAGCAGGGCTCCTGGCTCTGGAGTTTTAATGACCAGTGCTGGACCTGTGTGGGGATTGTCTTTCTCCTGTGACTTTTCACACAGGAGTACAACTTCAGTGGTGCTCTCTGGTTCTCTCAAGCTCTGTAAGAGCTGGTAATGCTGCAAGAGCTGAACACAAGGGTCTTAAATCCTATTCCCTACTTCATTGTCCTGTTCTTGAAGCTACTTGGGCTATAGATACATTCAGATCCGACAATCAGTACGGCATTACAGGAAAAACACCTAATTTATAAAATGAGATTACTAATAAACCTGAGTTCCCCTTGGAGATTTAATAACTCACCACATCTGGAAAAAGCAGTTCTTCCTTTCTGCAAACTTTCACGAACTGGACTTTGGAGTTACGATCTGGGACAAAAAACAGTGTGACTGATTAATGTTGCCTGTGCTTCTGCATGTCCGTTAAGTAGGTCAAAGACCCTAAAACCCCAGCTCGTGGAGACTAGGCCAATGTTTTTCTTCAGAAGCAAGTTTGTATCTCTGTATCTTCCTGCATATAGCAACCCCAAGCACCAAGAAGGGATGCTTAAGCTCCATATTGACAAAATGGAGAGATGATCTCTATCTTGGTACTCATCAGTACTCACACTCTGTGACCATCAGGGTGTCCAGACACCACGCTGGTGCACAGCAAATGAAGACAGAAACACATTTCCTCCCCCCACTCCCCAGGTACCCAATTCATTCTTCTCAGCACCTTAAAAATCATTCTAAGACCCTGGGGTTGCGGAGCGGCTTGTCCTGACTCTTCCAGCTGTCAGACAGCAATGCTCGGAAATATTTTCCTTTCTCATTTCTAATGTTTGCAATATTTACCTTCTCTCCCTAGTTCATGTCTGGTTTTCTTCTCTCTTCGCTTCTCTTTCTAATCTTTCGCTTTTTCTTCCTGTGCACACCCTCCTCCAAACGCACCCAAAGCAGGGTCTGGGGAAGGGAGCTCTAATTCGCAACATCGCAGCACCCTCTATCTGTGGGATGCGGCTTCCCAGCCTTCCCTCTCGGGTGAGATGCTAGCCTTGTCTGCTCTCGGCAGGAAGGGGAATTCCCAGAAATAGTTGCACAATCCTGCTGGCCCAGGCTGCCAGGGGGAGTGCACAGGTCTCGTCTCTACTTTCGGGAAATCAGATGACTTTTGGGAAAAGGGAGGGGTATAGCGTTTTCGGTTGCTGTCCCTCTCTTCCTCTTTCCCCTCCCTTTTAAAAATTGGAAACAACAACCAAAGGGTGTAGAAAAGGGAGAGTCCAATGCTTCTGTATAGAAAACTTGTTTGATCATCCTGTCCAGAGATCACTTTGCTGAAGTTCATTCTTACTGAAACCTGATGGCCACAGAGCTGCTCCCACTGCTCCTCATTTGATGCTTCAGAGACCCTTTTAAAGGGGAAAAAAACCCCAAAAGATAGTGGCCTATTTAATGCTGTGCCTCTCTGAGGCTACCAGTAGGAGTGAGAGTGCATGGTTTTGCTGGATTTGGTATGGAACACTCATGTAAGGGTTTAGGACTAGGAATTCATAACTACCTCTTTATTTGTCAAGTGCACTTCATGTAAGAGCATGTTCATCATGTTCACATTCATCAGACTTAGTCCCAGAGCAAGGTAGATCCAAGACCCTTACAGAAAGGAGTTTAAAGGCTTACACCAGGTAGGACCCTTAATCCAGCCAGTGCCCACAAGCCAAGACTAAAATACAAACTAAAGTCCCTGTCACTAACACTCTAGAAACCCCCTCGCCTCACAAACCAGCTGCACTAGGATTGGACTATAAATGAAAATGTAAAACTCCATTACAGCCTCTACTCTTTACAATCGGCACAGCACACTCCAGGGCTTGTTATAGCCAGGAAAAAAGTACTTCAAGTTTTAGCAGGCCATAGGCAAAGTGCATTAGCAAAGCCTGGCTGAAAGAGTTTGTTATATTGTCAAGGGAGAGAAACACCTACAGATGAATCATAACTGACTTCATTGTAGTCAGGATAAAGGTTTTGCTTGAAGAACATGACTAGTCTGTTTTCAATGTCAAACTGAGAATGGAGAGAGAGAGAAAACAGTGTCATCTCACTTCTGATATCTCTTGGGAGCACAGCTTGATGTTTCTAACTGGAATTTTGAGAATCAGGAAAACAGTGATGAAAGATACACAACAAATCATGGGGAGATGTTTTCTCCTCTGAGCTGAGCAAAGTAAAAACCCTGTCAGTGACTCTTCGAGCCACAATCATATTTTAGAATGGGCATGGCAGAAATCAAATGAGTGTGGACTGATATATTACGCATGTCATTTCATCGTAAGGGAATTGTATATTTTCATATAAAACCCGACTCGACTTGTCTGTAGCAGTGGTAGATTAATATGTGTGGTAGATTAATATGTGAATATTAATAATTCTTTAGAAGACATATACCTATTAATTAAGAAAAAGATTGCTGATGTTAGTCAAATAAAAAAGTAGCTGCATTTTCTCTGGTCACATATCTGCATAATGCTAACTATTTATGTAGAAGACTGGTAATATCTATGTATATGTTTACACTGAATACATATACAGTGTTTGATTCCATTTGCTTAGATCTGTATTGTTTTTACAACTTGTAAAATGAAACAGCTAGGTAATATATTTCACAATTCACTGAAACTATGTCAGGTAACAATTTAAAAGAGGCAAAATTGTGCCATTAAGTTTAATAAATGATAATATTAAGTTTGTCAATACAATATAATTCTGCTCAGAGGCACACGCATTCTCTTAAATTCCTAAATTACAAGACCACATACTACTTTTCCCAAATTGCACAAGATAAACCTTTTCTTAAGATGACTCAGAGTTGAGTAGCTGTAACCTTTCTGCCAGATGTTATGAAGCACAGTAGTGTTCCAGGTTTCACAAAATTACCATCTAAAACAGGCCTGACTGGCTTGTCTTCCCCCAGGAAACTGGGGGGAAAAAAGCTTTTCCCAAGTTCTAAAGAAAAGCCACACTTTCCCATCTGGAAACATTGAGTCAGTGCCTAAAGCAAAGGGAGTAAATATCAAAAGAGAAAACAACATTAACTAAGTGAAATCCATCATGAGGGAGTCAAGGATATGTAAGTAACAAGTAAATATGCTCCAACTACCAAGACCCTGGCAGTAATTTGCTTGTTTCCTGTTCTGCCAATAAGAGGATTCAGTGAATTTCTTGCTCACTACACTTCCCACTTCCCTCTTGTGATCCAGGGCAGTTTTGTTACCAGTCACTAAATTTGGAGCTTTGTGTAAACCCCAGGAAAACCTGCCAGTGCGGGTGTGTTCAGAACCTCTCAGTATAACCCATAGATTTCCATCTCTGCTTACTGTACCAGGGGCATTTTCACCAGTCTGTTCACCTCTTTTACTCCCTCCATCACCAAGTCTGAATGCAAAGGTCCCAGTAAAACCTGGGAGCTGGGAGCCTCTGCTCTGTGCACTGTACCACAGTGAGATGCCTGCTGCCTCCTGACTCCCTTCCCCTATGCCCCTGGGTGTAGCTTCAAGCAGCTGTGACTGTTAAGCACAAGCAATGCCTGTTCAAGCAATGCACTAGATTTCCTACAAACAGAAGCCCTATAGTCATTCCTACTTTTCCCTATTCTGACTCACAGCTGAGATGTCTCACTGTGGGATGACTGGTGTGGGCTCTGCTGCGACCTTCCAAGGGATATCCATCTTCATGGCACACGTGGCATTCCAGAGCTGAAACTGTGGCTGAAGAGGAGCAGTTGCATCTATTAGAGTAAAATATTACTAAATACTTTGGCTTACTTTCACTTAATCATGGAATGGTTTGGGTTGGAAGAGACCTTAAAGATCACTTAGTTTCAGTCCCCAGCAATGGGCAGGGACATCTTCCACTAGATCAGGTTGCTCCAACCTGGCCTTGAACACTTCCAGGCATGGGGCATCCACAGCTTCTCTAGGTGACCTGTGCCAGTGTCTCAACGCCCTCACTGTAAAGAATTTCTTCCTAATATCCAGTCTCAACCTACTTTTCTTCAGGTTAAGGCCACTGCCTCTTGTCCTATAACTACTTATCCTTGTAAAAAGTCCTTCCTTCTCCAGCTCTCTTCAGGTATTCCAGCCCCCTTTAGGTACTGGAAGGTGCTATAACGTCGCCCCGCACCTTTCTCTTCTCTAGGCTGGACAACCCCAGCTCCCTCAGCCCTTAAACCACAACACTGTAAAACGTCGTGGTGAAGCCGCTGCTGTGAGAGGAAAGGCGACATTCCTGCGGCAGGAGAACCCGCCGGACTGAAGCCATCAGTGCACACACAGCTCGCCGGTCCCGGCAGCACCGAGAGGCGGCAGCAGAGACCGGCCGGCCCCGGGGAGACACGGCCCGGGGGCTGCCCCGCCCGGCCCCACAGTGGATATCGGGGGTGTGACTCCCCTGACTCCCCTGGGTGACACGCCCCGTGCCCGGCACGGCGTGTCCGAGCCCTCCCACTAGGAACAGGGGCCACGAACTGTAGCTGTCCCGTTTCGTGGAGGGGGATTTTGGGTGCGGAGCCGGTGGTGCCTGAGAATCAGGCTCTGACATTGCGTAGGACAAGAGGAGACCTTGAGACCTTGACCTCAAGCTGCCAAGGTTTAGATCGCCCATTAGGAAACAATTCTTCTCTGAAAGAGTGTTCAAGCATTGGAAGAGGCTGCCCAGGGAAGTAGTGGAATCACCATCCCTGGAAGTGTTCAGAAAACATGTAGATGTGGCACTTAGTAACATGGTTTAGTGGTGGACCTGGCAATGTTGGGCTGATGGTTGGACTCTATGACCTTAGAGACTTTTTCCTTCTAAGATTAATTTGTGCAATAAACTCCAGAGTGAAAAGGCGATAATAATAATGGCCAGTCTTCGCGAGCGAAGATTTGGGAAAGGTCATTAACCCTTCGAGCCTGCGCAGTGGAT